TTTTTTTTTTTTTTAAATTAACAAAATTAATTTTAAGTTGAGAAAGTAAAATTAAACATGCTACATTGCTACCTTATAATATCAATGAAATCAGTGGCTTAACAAATTACTCAATCTGATTGGACATCCATTTTGTATATCTTAAGGTTTGAAAAAATGAACAAGTTATAATATTTACAAAATTTGTTCATGTTTGTTTAACTAAGAATCATAATTTTGGTAGATTTTAATAAAAATTAATAAAATATATGATTAAAAAGTTATGGACCTAATAAAATGTATTGTTAAAATTAATTGTCAATTTTAACTTAAATTTTAATCAAATTTTTTTAGTTGAATCCAATACAACTAAATTGGTAGCCATTTAGGCATTTTTCCTCTTTTGAAATATTTAAGGCCCGATTAGAGTGAAAAATGGATGAGTCACTTGCCCGACTTGCCCCATTTGTGAGTTGAACTAATACGGCTCAAGGTCAAGACAAGCTCCAGACACAAGTCGGGTAGCAAACGACAAATAGCTCGTACAAGTTGGCTCGCAAGCACAAGCCAACTTTTGACTTTTAATTGTTTATTTTAGAAAATTGTATACAGAACATTCATTCATTTACAATTTCAACTCCACCTTATATATTGTATTGTATGGAACCCAATTAAAAAGAGATTTTTACAACTTTATAAAGCTTTTGGCAAAATATAACACGCCTTTACAAATTTACATCTTAATTATACTTTTAAGTTCAAATTGGAAAAAAAATATTGACGAGCCACAATACTTAGCTCGTCCATTCAATGGTAAGCAAGCCAAACAGCTTGACTAAGTTCATATAACACTCCTAGTTGATGTAAAAATAGTTGTTTGTGCATTGCCAAGTTAAATAGAGTAGTTATAACTTTTACTGATGAGACTTTAGACCATCGTCATATGACAATCAATTAACAAGTTAACTAGACCCACACTTTACATAACCATCCTATCTAATCAAAGTGAGGCCATATATAAGGTAGCCAAGCTGTCGTGAATAGGCCAACCCTCCATGATCGGCCAATATGCTACTCATGTTGCAGGGATTGAATCATCGACAATTAGCCTTCTTGACTAATAAAAGGCATCTATACCCCACCTCTTCCAATAGATCTTTTATACAAAATCTTTCTATTATTAATTGATGTAACATTTCTGCAACAAGTTCTTAAAGGTCAATTTGTCAGTCTATATTTCAAAGGCCAGACCTAAACTCTAAGATGACTATTTTTCATAAAACATCAATATTCCATCTAGATAAGGCCTCATGTCTTCCCATGCAACAATCAATATTTCATCTCTCACACCCTGAAAGCTCACACTTAATGCCATTCGAAAGTAATGCAATTTTATACACTCAACTATAACTTTTCTCTCTTATTATCCTCTCTATTCACATACTTTTAGATCCATACCCCTTGTATTGTGGTTCAAGTCTTTAGCATGTCCACCATCCATTACACTACTTCTCGCTAACAGATTTAACCATCACAGTGCTTGCAGCTACCTCCCCCACCATCAAAGAAGTCCACGTGCAACTAACAATTTGTCCAAGTGTACTAGAGCTAGATCACGTGGACATGAGTGGAGCCTAGATTTGTCGGCCAAATCACCCCTACAAAAATCGAAGTCAACAATAGCTATTACGAAAAAATAATAATAAAAAATAAATAAATTCATAGCCAACTCTAAATTTATTGAGAATAAAATTTGTACAACATTTGAAAACCTAGCGTGTGTCCCAACAAACTGTCTCAACATTTTCACACACTAAAACTGCCAACCATGATCCATATAGTAGACTAGGCATCCCAGAATGAAATGTAATAACACTATTTTCTGAGTAGAGAGGGTCTATAGATAGCATGGCTCTGTGCAATCTCAATGCGTTCTCGAGGATCATTCATGGTTTCATCTCTCAAAGTTTCAAGGATTGCCTCCGATGACACCTCTCTGTAGATTAACAAAAGTCAGATAAGTTTGAGATATTTACTAGACAAACTTTTGATTGACGAATATCACAATTTAATTACCTCACTATTAGTATTTTATACAATGTCTTCAAGATGGGACATAGCTTGACTGGAGCAACATGGTTGTTTTCATCAGGGTGAACAATACATAAACGAGATTGACCAAGTAGCTCATAGAAAGCTTTTACGGCAGAAACTCCCTGCAGTATTATTAGCAAGGAAAACAAATTCAAGTCAAGAGAGCATGAAATCTTCTTTCTGATTTCATTAATCTAAATTCGTTCATTTCAGAGCAGAATTACAATTTGTTAAGAGTATTCAACCTGAATCATTCCCTTGCCTTTGATGCTATCACCCATATCAAGGCTTAATTCTCCTTTGGCCAACTTCTGACCATACCATGCATTTCGACCTTTCAACAAGGTCACATAAGTGTCGGCCAATAGAGGACCAGCAAGTTTCTCAGGTTCTTCTGCCAAGAGATGAGTAATAAAGATCATCTCCGATGTACAATGAGCAAAGTACACCGACTTGCTTGTTGCACTTTCATTAGTTAAAGCTGCCACCATACCTGTCCATTTTAATTTCAAATAAAGAAAAAAATCAATCATATAGGTGTCAAGAAGATCATCCAGAATGAACAAAGCTTCATAAAGTAAATTAATTCCTTGCTGTTCACTAAATTTTCTTCAGGCTGAATCAAGATCAATTTCTACTGTTGATAGTAGGTTCAAACTCGTAATCTACACTCGTGTGAAAGGAAAAACCAGTAAAAAAATGAAGCAGCACTTAGATGTCACTATAAATCAGTCCCGTCTAACATTATTGAAGAAAATCTCAACCCTACCAACTTCGAAGCTAAAATTCATCATTCTCATCCATAAGATAAACTTCATCATTCACAGAAAGTTCGACTTTTACATGGAAAATATCAGATAAAAGGAGCCTCACCTGCCCCAATTGCATATACATTTTTCAATCCACCCATGACTTCATGAGTAACAAGGTCACCATTATCCCAAACAATAAAATGAGGCTGCCTCAGAAACCTTGCTAGTGATTTCCTCCATTTTTCAGCTCCACAAATCCGAGCATTGGCATATTCCTTGTTGTAAATTTCTGATGCAATATTAGGTCCACCAAGATAGAGAATGTTATCCATTGGCACCCCAGCTGAAAAGATAAAATCATACATGAGAAAGAGGACAAAACACTTCAAGGCCAAAAATGGGGAGAAGAAATGACATATATAATCAAAACAGTCAGCTTATTATAAAAGCACAAGATGAAAATAATCTAACAGAAGCACATGCAGTCTTGTATTATTTATATGAAATCTCAAGTGAACTTTTTCCTCTCATCTCATTTAACAAGTTTCCTCATTCCGTTTTAATAATGAAATTCATATGATGAAATCATCAATGTGCATTGCATACATTATCGACAACTTTGTGATTTCAAGCACAGCTGAACTTGATCTGAATTCTTTCTCAACATATTACTTGATATATAATCCAGTACTATAACCAATATATAGAAGCAACAAACATTTATTTCAATTTCAAGTGTTGTCTCAAGCAGCTTGTTTAATATAAACAAAAGGGGAACTAGAAAACTGCTTATAGCAATTGACTAGCCTTTCCAATTTTGAATTTTTTAGCATCTTGTTTCATGTTTCATCACATATTACAGGCATGTAGACAATCCTTTAAGAAGGCAAGAGAATGCAAGATGTTTCTTTAAGATCACAGAAGATAAGTCCAATTCATTCTGATGCTGTTAGCACCAAATGATGAATCATTTCCTATTTTGCATTGCATATGACATATACACGAGGCTGTGCCACATCCATTGATAATCCAGTTTGTTTCATATAAGTCAGTCCATAATTTGCTTTTCCAAATTATTAAAAATAATAATAATAAATAAAAAATAAAAAAATCAGTAAATATGGATTCTGGGGTGGCTGAAGTACTGATAGAAATACCACCAGAGCGGTCTAATAGCCCGTGTTAAGGAAAAACATAGCAGAAATAATAAACAGCAGCAGCAGCTTCACTTGTAAAAGACAATAGTTTCAACCATTCCAAAAAGCAAAAGAGGAGCAGCTAGGGAACCTAAAGCGGATAGCTTTTTTGGTCAAATACTATAGAAATGAGAACCCTGGTTTTAAAGGGCATACCATCGACAAAGAAAAAAGAAATCAGGGTATCTATGCTGCCGGTGCACAGAATAATTATGTGAGCCGTTATGTTTTCTATATTACGATCCATAGCTGGACAATTTTTAACAGGACAAAGAAGACTGAGATGGTGTAATAAACTAAAACGCATCCTTGGGTGCCTTAACAAACAGGACCCTTAAATAGTGAATAGCTATTAAACAAGCAAGAAAACCTTTTTCTTGGACTGTATTTCCAGTAGATAAAAATATATTTGGAGCTCTTTCTTGTTTTCATGAAATTTTGGATGAAAAAAGCTGAAACACATCTAGGTAAGTATCAGCTACTATCCCCTTCATAAATTAGTTATTCAAATTAGCTTTTTCCTGATAGTTCATTGGTTATCCATATAAGTAAAAGAAAAAAAAAGAATAGCAAGAAAAAATCACTGTGGCAATAACCCTAGTGCCCTTTCTCCGTCAGTATAGTGACCAACTGTGATAAACTTGTTGGCTAACATCAATCTGTATGAATGTGCTACAAAAGATTACAATTATAGCTGGATGATAATGTACGAAATAAAATTGCACAACCTACACCTAGTAGCAATTAGCAAATAAAAAATTGCTCCTAGTTACGAGACACGTGGTTTACAAGATTACCCAATAATTACCAATCAAACACAAACGAATTTCTCCTCGTCAGAGTGAGACCAATTTTTTCCAGCTAAATTTAAATTACCCCGATTGACATTCCCCAACCAAGAAAAGTACAAAGGATTGACGGAGAGGAGTATAAGCACCAATCAATTTATCAAATTAAGCAAAACAAATTACATCATGATCAGAAAAATATTAAAGAACAATGACAAACTTTAAAGTTAATTTTACTGTACTAGGAGAACAGTGATGAACATTCAAGCTAATTTTACCGTACTAGGAAAGTGATTAGTTACTCATACAAGCAAGACACTACATCTAAGGAACTTAATCAGAAGAATTCTTATGTCATCTACGAAAAATCAGATGTACATGAGAGAAAAGATAAGAATTCATACTTGCTCGATTGATCATCTGAGTCGGAGTAATTATACGTGGTTCAGGCTCTAACTCAGCTTCTATTCCTTTCGCTAAAGAAATGATAACCGGAACTGTAATCCTTTCCTTCCAATACCTATTAATTTCCTCAAACACTTCACAAGTTTCCGTAGACGGCAATCCATTAATAACAATGTCAGCATCCCAAACTGCCTCTTGCAAGTTAGTGACAACTTTTAAAGGGCACAGTGGAGTGTCAATCATATTCAAGCAAAACCCATCTTTCAAAATCTCATCTGCATACAGCATCCGATCACCAAGTCTCCCCTCCACGTACTTCAAATATGCACATCGTCTTATGAGCCTCCTCAGCACATCTTCCCTCGAATTGATCACCTCAAATAGATGCTCAGCTGTGGCTCTATCAACAGACCTCCCAGCTCTCCTCCATATCCTAATCTGAACCTTGTCGCGAAAACCCCCATATGCATCTTGCAGCATTGCTGCAAACACACTACCCCAAGCCCCTGCGCCTACCCCAACAATCCTCAATGGATCACCATCTGCTTTCCCAAATAATTTTCGAATCTCATCAATCTTCTCCTCTATAGAACCATTTCCACTTCGAGCCAATCCATTTGTATATGCAGTATTATTAGCAATCCCCTCACTAGTTTCAACCATCTTGTCTCAAATGAACACCAACTTTCAATTTTCCAATCTAATAATCAACTCAACAACAAATCTATCTTTAATCGTATATTTTTCCAAGAGCTATATCAAATGCCGATCACTCAATTATTATGACTCCAAATGCTGAATTTACTAGAATTCCTCACAAGGGGTTTCCACTATGCGCCCCCTTTACACAATAAAATAGAAGTGAACAAGTTGAACACCCAAAACATATAAAAAAAAAATGCAAGCTTAACCAGAAGAAAACCCAATAAAAATGCAATTCGCACCTCGGTTTTTCTCACATTCGTTTCAGATTGTATCACCGTCTCGAAGAAAGAAGATTCGTGGTACATCCGAGTGCAGCAGACATAGATAACTCCGCAGAAAGGAAAAAAGCAAGTAAACTAATACCCCACCGCCAAGAGTGTGAAAAAGAAGGAAAAAAATTGGGAAAAGGGCAAAATAATCTGCGTTGTCTTGTAGTAATAAATAGGCGATTGTACCAGATTTCTTGTTTTCTTGTGGTTCAGCAGTATAAATGTCCACGCGTTTTAGATGAAATGTAGAAACGAGTTTTCTTGAAAGGGCTGTCTAAAGAAGGAATACAATCGTGTGAAATTCCGTTTTCTACTTTTTACACAAATAGAACCTTCCTATTTCGAGTTAGGGGAACATAATGATTGACAAACTGCGTACTTTGTGAGGATCGATCACCCTCGTCCGTTTGATTCAAGGGAATGAGAAAGGGTTTAAAGCTAGATTCCCTACTAGGGATGGCAATGCCAGACTCGACTTGTGAAGTCCATAAATGACGTTTGGTTCGATTTATGTTCATGGATCTTATGGATCAAGTCGAATAATTTACGAGCCATGATTCAATTTTTGTTAAAAAAAAAATAAAAATAAAATCATTCTTATTTTTTCAAGCTTGGGATCGATCTTTTTAATGCAGGTAGATTTTAAATTGTATACAAACAAAATATTACGTACAAAACTTTTCTTATAAAGATAGAAAAATTAGAGAAAATTAACTTAAACCACACTTAAGTCGGACCTTAGAAATCTTTAGCTCTTAATCTAACTACTTAATTTTAGATTAGGAGCTCTGCATCTTTTAGTTCTTTAAATACATTAAAATCTCTATTCAAGATGTAATACATGGAATATATTTCCACGAAGTTCGAAGAGTCACACAAATGACATCTACTTGAATTCAAAGCACATTTTTTACATTGATTATTGAAACAAATAGAGTGCATTCATTATCCCTGGAAATTATGATTTTGAATTCACATTTGGAGTAATTTATAAAAGAAAGAGATGGAATAACAGAATTTATATTAGTATTATAAAGAAATAACTCAAATAAGTAAATTTATTGACAATAAAGGATATGGAGATTATAACTGTCCTAAATTGAGAAGGTAAAAATTTGTGGAAAAATGGAAAAGTGAAGTGTAGGGATGGACAAAATGATGAGATCAAAGCAGTATCAAACCAAAACAAGTGGTTCAGTTTGATTTGGTTTTACAAAAAAACTAGTGATTTTGTCTTTTAGGACCGAGAACCATTCAGTTATAGATCTGATTTTGGTTCTAGAACGAATAATCGTAATCGATAAACGAATTCATTTCTTATTATTTTTGTATATATATTTTTTTCTTTTTAGAAATCAGTGAATCACACAAAATAAAAATAAAAATAAAAAATCTAACTTAAAAATTACAAGTGTGAAATGGACAAGAAGATCATTTACCTTTATATTTTACATTACCATTTATCACCTATCAAACAAAGCGATCAAGTCCTAGATCTAAATTTAATTCATTTATCACATTTTCAATTTTAAACACACATTGACACTCCTACACTATAGCTACCATTGTTGTTGAATGTTTCATGTTTTTTTTTCTTTTTTTACAGAACAATTTTCACCTCTACCTATGCTTACAAATGCATCGCGAAATCGCACTTCTACATTGTTTGGGTCATCCTATTCACCGTTAAACGAACTTGGTTTGACAACAATCGTGTCCTAATCAAGCAATATTTCTCGTTTCAACCCTATGTAAAAATAGCAAAAATGAAAGAATAAAACTCCTTTACCAGAAAATTTTTGACATGTTGGATAACAGATACTCACATTCGCGTGGGATCCGAACCGATCCGCATGAATAAAAAATGCAAAAAACCGAGGGCCCTCAAGAAAGGTATCTGTACAACCAGTACGATTGTCCAAGACAAGTTCTAAAAAAAGGTTAAATCCTAACCTTAGGAGTCCCCCACCACCCCTGCCCTGAAATATCGTGAGGGAGGTAAATTGCAGGTTATGCCTTATCCAAGAGCCAAATCCATATTTCAGGATTCGAACCTTTGACGCAGCAGCCTCAAGCCTCAAACAAAGTTGAATTTCTCCCCCCGCCCCACCATTTTTACCACTTGGAGATGTTCTAACGTGCTCAAGACAAGATCTCGTCATCCAGTAGGTTGACAGAGGGGTACTTTTAATTTTGACCCGGTCAAAGGAGCAAAATTTCAGTTTGACTTCCAAAATAATGAATATTATGACATTGGCCTCTTGTATGGTAAAAGACAAAGATACCCTTAATTGTTTTATACAATTACAAAACCATATATTGTTGAAAGGACTATACTACCTTTTTACTTAATAATTGAAAACCAAACATTTCCCCACTTATAAAAACTTCAAAACGAGCTTTCAACACAGAAAAACTCTCATCTTTTCATCTGCTTGAACCTCAAAATCTAGAAGAACTTTGGAACGTTGAAGCTGAAATTTTTTTTCACATCAATTACTTCAAATCGGTAAGTACATTTAATCATGTTTAATTTCGTTTTAAGTAAATTAGTATACGTTAAATAGAGAAATTTTATGTCGACATAGATTTTTTTTAACAGAACCTATAAAAAAAAAATTAAACGGATGTATAACTTACGTTTAAATTACTCATGCTTAATTTCGTTTTTAGAACGGTATTCTCCTACGCCAAACTGGTATAACTTAACAAACAGTCGGAAATAGTCTGAAACAGCCGGCTGTTGGATGTTTAACAGCCGGGAAACAGCCGGCTGTTAAATATCCAACAGCCGGCTGTAAAACAGTCGAAAACAGCCGGCTGTTAGGCTGTTAAACAGGCGCTGTAGCTGATTTTTTGCCTTTTTATTTCTTATAATTAATATTTGAAATTGATTAAAATCATTTCCTCATGCAGATATGATAATCCCCGTGTGTTATTTCGGTGATTTCGAATTAAATGAAAATAATCGGTGGGAATGGAGATGGATGAGTGACATACGTGGTTGTATTGCAATTCCCGTAACAGATAGTACACCATATTTAGAAATGTACCACGATTTGCAAAATAAGCTGAATGTCGATCAATCTCAATACGATATGCAATTGAGATATCTATTCAACGGTTATGGGGATTCATCCATTCCGATGCCACCGGTATTCGTTACTAATGATGCTGAATTGAATTATCTATTAGAATTGAATAAAATGCATCGGATTCCGACTGTTCTTGGTGTGACTTTAATTACGAAGGATGTTATCGAAGGTGAACGTGAAGATTCGGATAGGGCGGATAACAATGATCGAGGTTTTTGGGGAGACAGTGGAGATAGTTCCTGCGGATGATGTGGGTATTCCTGAGACAGTTGCTTCTGATCGTGATGTCGCTGTTACGCGCAGAATTCCGTCAACAGTTGAAGACAATGAGATCATAAACGACTTTACAAATGAGAATTTGATTGCTTTATCCCGACAGAGACACGAGCCTGGTGGGAGCTCACAGGTTGGAACAAGTGGACATACGTCGAATTCTTCCCGTGTGGCTCCCGATGATGAGGACTTGCAGGTCGGGCAACTGTTTGAAACCAAGAAAGATTTGCGGGAAGTTGTGCACCGGCTGGCATTAAAATATAACTTTGAGTTCAAGGTAAAGAAATCAAACAAGTTATTGTTGACAGTTGCTTGCGTCGAAGACAGTTGCAATTGGCGCTTGAGAGCAACTAAGATGGACACGAATGAGTGCTTCGTAATTCGCAAGTATTTACGGGAACATACTTGCGAAGTGGGAATTCTTCGAAACGATCACAGGCAAGCTCGAGCATGATTTATTGGTCGACAGATAATGCACAAGTA